TGGTTTCTATGGTTCACATTAAAACTTAATACTTACGAATTCTCAGGATATCCAAAATTACAATAAACATCATAAACGACTTCCAATTATAATAAACCCAATGATAGTTTCACACGAGGGAACTGTGAGGCAGAGCAGTACTTGAATACAGTATATCTAATGTTGTACGCCCAATTAGCCTAACTACCTTGACATATGTTGAATATGCTGCCGTCTCTTTCTTTCTTTTGATAAATAGAGGCTCTATCTCTTTCTAGCTTCTTTCCTATACGGTGGTGAGTTTTTTTGTTCCTTTCTTTTTAATTTGATATAAAACTTGTCAGTCGCTCATGTCTTTTGGCACCAAATCCTTTCAATTTATTTGATGTTCATATAGGATTTTTAATACTTTTTTTAATTACTAGCCTAGTATTAAAAAAAACACAAGGATTAGATGATGGCAAGGGAGACGATGATAAAATGTTTTAGAAAATAATTAAATAAAAGAATTTAACATGGATAAAATTGAGTTTTTTATACGAGTCACGAAGTTATCTATAGTTTCTGTCAAAACTTGTAAAGTCTCTGAGAGATTAAAACAATAGCAGTACTGCTCTGCGTCATTGTTCTGTCCTCGTGTAAAACCATAATCAAATATTCCGAGCTAATTATATTCGATTGAGATGTACAGGTTAGCCAGGTTATCGATTTATATTTTTTCCAACTCTAGTCTTAATTGCTTTAAGCCGGAAATCTCCTCTGTTAACTAGTTTAATAACCAGTTTCCTGTTCGTTGGCTTAACTTGACTTTTTGGTATCACCCCAATTTATTCTTATCTGCGCCAGTCGCTTCTATCAATTCCTATTTTATCTTGATTCAATATACGTTTGTCATTGTAAAATGTACTTTAATGTGAACGTAATAAGGTGCATAAATAATTGGAATAGTTTAAATTGCTCACATATTTCAATTGTAAAAGTCCAATGAAGTTGTATTTCGATTTGATTTAAGTTCTTTATTAGGTTACTCTTCTTTTGTTTTTTTTTAAGAGTTCTTTTGTTTTTTGATAATTTTGTCTCAATTTAATGGGTTTTTCAATCAATTTAATGTAATTAAAAAGAAAAGTCAATGACTTTATTCTATACTATTATAATAAAGCGTAAACACACACTTCTTTGTTGCCAAGATGTCGGCAATTACAGCATATTTTTAAATAATTCTTTTTTTAATGAAAAGCCCTACGCTAACGTCACGCTTTAGGCTATATATTTTCACGCTATTAAACTTAGGGGGTAAATATTTTCGATAAAAACCCTAATGTGAGAAAGAGACCATTAGTTGCTGCCAACATCAAGGAAGCAAAATTGCCATGGTTTGTTATCATGTCTGTCATTTTGACATTTGCATTTGAATTTGACAAATGTCATCAATAAAACTATTTTCATAAGTTTATGCGGATGAAGTCGCACGGGAACAGCTAGTGTAAAATAAATTAAAATGTCAGAATGTATCGTTAGATAGAAATGATTTAAGTCCACTTTTCACACCGTATTTGGAATAAAGTGACAGGTGTTAAGCCGTTTGACATATCTATGATCATGCGCATGATGGACTAGTTTAAGCCTACGTCTTCGTTTGTCTCACATTTATTTTCAACTAGCTGTTCCCGTGCGGCTTCATTCACATGAAATTATGTAAACTTTATTTTAATAGTTACATTAGTTAAATTCTTAATTGTAAATGTCGAAATTACCGTTACCATAATAACATAGTTCCTTAATGTTGACAGCTTGTAGTTTATTGTCTTTTCTCACATGAAGGTTTTTTCTAATTTATTTACACCCTAAGTTTTATAGCGTGAATATAAATAGTCTAAAGCGTGTCGTAAGTAACGCTTTTTTTTAAGAAAGAATTATTCAATAAGATGCTGTGATTGCTGACCTACGCCGCAAAGTAGTGTGTGTTTACGCTTTATTATATCGGTATAAAATAAATAAATCACATAAGAAACCTTCAAAATTAGTATTTCTCTACCAAAACTGCATCAAAAACCATTGCGTAGTTACAGATCTAAGCATAGAGACAGACAGACAGCGGGAAGATTTTGCTGTTTACAATGTATGTTAAAATTTGCATATAATATTTCCTTACACTATAAAATAGCTGTTCGCTTAATAACATAATTGTAATGATTTGCATAAACACCGCGAGGCATTTGCGAATAGACTCCGACTATATACTTATTTGCATGGACCACCCGTTTTAAGTTATCAAACTATATTTAGCTCGCGGCCTTGTGTGCATCCGTTTTATTTTTCTAATTAAAAATCTCTAGAACCTTCAAACACATTTTTATTTCAGATCACCGGGTGAAATAGATTTGTCGCACTATACATTTGTTGCGTGTCACTTTATGATATACTCACTGTTGCTCGCGACTTCGCCCGTTAAAAATAAAAAAACATAGTCTATGTTACTCACAGATAACGTAGCTTTTTAATGGTAAAAGAATTTTAGCAATCGACTTAATAGTTTTTAAGTTACTTAGATACATACAAAAATCTAAAAATTCAAATATTACCTCTCTTTATACGACATTTTCTTTGTGCATGCAGATTTTAGAAACAACCGATAGTAGCTACTGACCGGGCTAGTCATCCGTGTTTGACTATACAAGGATTGTGACACTCTTTTGATATTAGCAGAGCTATCCGGTGGTATAAAAATTTAGTTTAATTTATACCCGGGTCAAATAGCTTCGTCCGTCTGCACGTGTTGTGTGTACATCTTTATTACGAATTGAATCACGAAGACCCATCGTTATTTTGATACGGGTGCAATTGGCTCATTCTGATTGGCCTGGAAAGAGGCGATTTATTAAAGGTGTAAAGATTTAGTAGCTACGTTTACCGTGAAAGGATGATTGAATGATCTATTCAACGCGGTTTATTGCCGTGATGTGATATTTGTCACGGACAGATTGAGTACTTCAGTAGGTAACGAGTGATGTTGTAAAGGAATAGAATTAGGGTTTGTTATGAAGGTTTTTTTTAGATATTCTTTCTAATAAGAAATGCGAACGTTAAAAATTTTCAGCCGTGTACTATTTTCGAACACATTTAAAAATGTCCTATTGGTTTTAAAGTCGAGCACTGACAGATTCCTTTATTGTACTTTGTACTAACATTATAAACGCGAAAGTTTAAAAGTTTAGACTAATGGATGGGTGTTTGTTAGAGTTTGTAGCCTAAACGGCTGAACGGTATTCTATGAAATTTGTTACAGATGTAGAGGATATTCTGAAAGAACACATAGGGTAGTTGCTTTTGTTTTTTTTTTGATTTTGATTCGCGGGTGAAAGCTTGTACATATTTACTAGTTCCCTATCTAATATTGTTCTTATTTATGTTAAGAGTATAATAAACAACTTAAAAGGCTTGTCTAAAACCACATATACCAAAGCGATAACTAGCGAAGCCACAAAATAAACGTTCGGTTACAACTACCGCTTTCTCGGCAGGATCTTAGTGATGTATTGCTAAGGCTTTCAAGGATCCGGGAAGGATGTATGTGTGCGGTTTGTCACGAACTTGCAAGATCCCACGATATCTTAAGGGGTTGAAAGTTTGAATTTTTTAAATTAACGTAACGGTTTTTTTAATGGTGAAATACAAGAGTAAGAAGTTATCTATATTTATTTGTATAGCGTAAATATTTAGAAATAAAATTATTTTGAACTAGCTTTCGCCCGGAACTCCGTCCGCGTGGAATTAAAAAAAAACAAAAGTAAGTAGCCTATGTGTTCTTCCAGACTATTCTCTACATCTATACCAAATTTCATTGAAATCCGTTTAGCCGTTTAGGCTACAAACTCTAACAAACATCCATTCATCCATCCATTCATCTAAACTTTCACATTTATAATATTATAAGTAAGATGGAGACATGTGTATTGGCAAAATATAGAAAAAGACATAGATGACATCGACAATGTGTTCTAATTTCAAATAATTTAAATTCTTCCTTTTTTCTAATGGCTTGAGTCTTAAAACATGTAAAAACTCCTTGAACATTATTTGTGAATTATGTTTGTGGTATATGGTGGCAATTAAATTACTTTCAATTATTTTTTTTATTTTTTACTAGTTGTTCGCGTATTCGTCCACGTGGAATTAAGATATAGTAAAAACGTAGCCTATGTTACTTACCGATAATGTAGCTTTTTAATGGTGAAATAATTTTTGAAGTCGATCGAGTAGTTTTTGAGGTATTTCAATACATACAAAAATACAAATCTTTCCTCTTTATTATATAGATTAAAGAAACAATGTATTCTCATGCTAAAAATGCTAAACTAAAAAAATAAAAAGCTTCGAAAAAGCACTCTTTTATTCCTAGTCCAGTGTGCGATTACCTTTATAAAGCCACGTTTATCCTCTTTCCGGATAATTAGACATTACTTACACAACATGTCTGCTATCAAAGTACTGCACGAGTAACTTCAAGTTTGCCAAGCTCATAGCTTAGTGATGCTTGTAACGTTAAGCGATTTATCGAGTTTTTTTATTATTTTCTTAACTTTTTCACCCTATTTAGTGATACACTAACAATCTTAATGTTAAAAACTGACTGTTGCTCGCGACTTCGTTTGTCGTGAAATCAAAAAATAGTAAAAACCGTAGTCCATGTTACTGACTGATATCGTAGCTTCTTAATGGTGAACCTTTTTTAAATCGTTCCAGTAGTTTTTGAGTCATTCAATACATATAAAAATCTAAACCTTTCCCCTTTATAATATTAGTATAGAGTATAGATGTGAAAGCTTGTATGGATAGATGTTTGTTGGAGTTTGTAGCATAAACGGATTGGAACGGACGGAACAGCCTAACGGATCTTATTGAAATTTAGCATAGGATAATTTGGACGAACACATAGGCTACTAATCCCGAAATAGGTACGATTGCTGTGGCATACAAAATATTTTTTTTTAATTTAATAACATTTCTTTTTTTTATTTCAGATGTGCATTCGGAATCGAGTTAAGGATGTGAATAATGAGTGATATCGATATTCTGCCGCGATAACCATAGTGATGTGCTGGTGTCGACAATGATTGTGTCTCGTACGCAACTAGTGTTGTTCTGTGCGCTGTTACATTATCGAGTCGAGAGTCAACAGGAGGTGCTTATTGAAGAATCATGTAAGTACAATATAATTATTTTTGTGGAGTCCTAATAGTTGGAATTGTAGAGCGGGCGCACACATGTAAGTCAACTATCGCACGACTGTTGTGTGACTGTCGATTGTCGATTGTTTCGTCCATTTTATTATTTTTATTATTATTTTTTTTTATTTTACTCAAAGCTGTGAACGCTATTAAATTACAACCGACCATATATTTAAATATGTAACGTTTAAACTACAAATATAATTACGTCTGATTAGCGAAGTGCTTAACATTCGTTTCAGAATTCGACCGTAAATCTTATTATGTGTAGTGTATCCATTGTAATAAAATATCTTGCCATTAGCTTGCGATCGAAAAAGATATATATTTCTATGTAAATACAGACATTACGTAAGTTACCATAGTGATCGATGACGTAACGGGAGATACCGGAGTGCCGTAACATCCATTACGCGATAAGCAACTTGTGTTCACACAAATATTGATTTAGTGCGCCGAGACGACAGATTGTGTGATAAAAAATTTACTTGTCCCCTCTGTTGTTTCTTACTCTATGGTAGTTTTATTCAATTCCGCTTGCTTTTTGCCACCGTATATTTTAGAATACTCTGCAAATTAATTGTTCAGATGGCTAGCTTTCGCCCGCGATTTCATCCGCGTGGAATTGGTGATTTAAAAAAAAAACAAAAATATGTGACTATGTGTTCTTTCAGGCTATCTTCCACATCTATGTCAAATTTCATTTAGATCATTTCAGCCGTTTAGGTTACAAATTACATATTTAAACAAACATCCATCCATCTATGTTATACCGCAATTCTAATATTACTAGCTTTCTCCCGCGACTGTTCGTGTGGAATTAAAAAAACAAAAGTAAGTAGCCTGTGTTTTTTTCCATTTTACAACTATGGCTAAATCCATCGAGATCCGTTCAGCTGTTTAGGCTACAAACTCTAACATCTATAATATTTATAATATAGTAAGAATACGGTGGATGTGTACATTCACTCGTAAACATTACCCTCCTAATAGTCGGGCAAAACGGCGTGAGAATTGCATAACATAAAGCATTAATGCACATAAACGCTCACCGTCTATATCGGATGCCGTTACATTTCACACGTAATGTTTGAGAACGCTGTTTGATGTGTTAGCGCTCTTAACACTCGCTTTGATTACGCTTTTCTTTGATATAGGTCAATACGTACTGTCAAGGAAATGATTTATAAAAAAATATTAAACGTTCCATTTGTAGCTCCAGCCGATTGCAGACTTTATCTGCCGATAGTTTAGACAGGGCATACTCAAGGCAATCTTATTAAATCAAATCGGTTAATAACCTCTATATATACTGATTAATCACCCAATTATTAACCTATTTAGTAGTTTACGATCATCCACTTGCTATTATCTCTTACGCAGGGTGGCCACAGTGCTGCTCTATCAGCGGTCATATCTGAATCCACTCTTTTCTTAAGCATAACCTTTTTCACATAATCCATCCATACTTTCTTTGGTCTTCCTCTACCTTTGTAGCCACACATTCAATCTTAACACTTTTAGGTTTATGTCCCCATCGTTAGAAGAATCGTCAACCGATCTAGAAGTCTATAGTTGACGCATTCAAGCTAAAATATATTTGAGACATTCTCCTATAGTAAATGTAACTTGCATGCATATCTATAAATATAAGATTACTTAGAAGCGGCCGTCTCCATTTAACTGGATTCGTACTATTTTATTTAACTTATCGAGAAAACTTGTACAAACAAGTTACTAGGAATAATCGCATATAAATATGGAAATAGAGATAAGTTTGTTTACAATGTTGTTACTATCTAATAGGGACGATCGTAAAAATGTTATCGAAACGTAGTTACATATAGTTTTTAACTCATATTATACTAATATTATAATTGTGAAAGTTTAGATGGATGTTTGTTAGAGTCTGTAGCCTAAACTGCTGAACGGATCTCAATGAAATTTGGTATAGATGTAGAGGTTAGTCTGGAAGAACATATAGGCTACTTTGTATTGTTTTTTAATTACCACACAAACGGAGTTGTGGACGAAAGCTAATTATTTTAATAAAATAGAGTCAACTAAAGCAGAGTTATTTTCATAGGTCATATTTACTTCATCGTTTAACAATGTAACATTAAAACGTCGGAAATATAAAGTTTTTTTTTTCAAAACTATTCTAACAATATCGATTGAGTTTTGTTATACTTTTAAGTTAGTGAACTCTTTTTGTATTTAAATACAGATTGTTACAAATTATTACGAAACATATAGATTTTTCATACCGATGAATTCGATTAACACATGTTTGAAGGTCATATCGAATCATTTTATCGATGTTTTGAAGCAGTTCACATCACTATTAAGTTAAAATTGATGCAAGTTTGCCTTATATGCTCACCTGTTCCTTTTTTAATATTTTAAATGCAATATAAAACGTGTTTGTTTTTAAAAAGGTATTCAAGACATCCTCGATATGGTAATTGAAATTTAACGCGCCATGCTCCTTAGCTAAATGTTAGTGGAAACACACCTTTAGAATGTGTCGTAAAAAATTAGTACTGTGATATCGACTCGCCTGATGTAAAGACCTGAAGAAAATTTTCATATATCTCGTAGAAACTGCGTTACAAAATATATACCTTATAAGAAGGGGTGGAACGGGAAAGGGACTAAAATTGGGCCTCCGGCACCACACTCATCAGGCGAAACGCGGAATTGCTTCCACTTCACGCCTGTCTTCTGTATGGTCGTAGTATTACACCGGACGAGCCGACCGATATAAATACAAATACATATACTTCATACGATTGTAACTTTTAAATTGCATCACCGCCAGATTTCCTAACTGTACATAGCGTTAAACTCTCTAAGCGAGTAAATATTCGATAAGTACATACGTTATCTGAACTATGCTAGCGATCTAGGTTAGATAACTAGAACTTGAGGCAAAGCTTTTGAACTTTGAAAGCTCAGCTAACGCGGTAACGACTTAAAGTACAGTCTAAGTAACTTTAGGTGTCAGTATCCGGAATATTTGTAATGTTATGAAACTTACAATAAAACAATCTTATAAATGCGAAAGTTTAGATGGATGGATGTTTGTTAGTTTGTAGCCTAAACGGCTGAACGGATCTTGATGAAATATGGCAGAAACGTAGCGAAAAATCTGGAAAAGAGATAGGCTACTTACTTTTGTTTTTTTTTTTTTAATTTCACGCGAACGGAATCGCAGGCGAAAGCTAGTTATTCGATAATTTTAGTATTTACAATTAAACAACAATATGTAGCCTGATTAGAGGCACTGCTATTGGTTAGTTCTGTCCATAGACATTAAAAAAATAAAGACTAGACATAGGGACATATTTTTCACCGGTAACTTCTTTGTTGGGTAATACCTCAATGTTAAAGACACGCCGAGACGATTCTCCGTGTTTGAATTATTTGTTTGTTTATTATTTTGACTATCGGACACCTGGTAGCTAGTGAGATGTGAAAAATGTTTTAAGTGAAGTCTCTTTGGTTCTGTTGATAAACATCTAAAATTAGCTAAAGTATAAAAACTTTTTTAACAACAGAGGGCGCTAATGAGCTATTAATTTTTTACTAATTAAAGCTGTAAATTGAACCTTAAAACCTAATAACATTAAAGTCTAAATTAAATAAATCGTGAAAAAAGATTTAGAGAATGGTATTATTTTATTGAAAACTAGCTGTTCTCGTGCGATTTCATCAGCATAAAATTGTTTTATTATTTACATGTGTCAAATTGTCAATTGCAAATGTCAAAATGACATGACATGACAAACCATAGCAACCTTGCTTCCTTGATGTTGGCAGCAACTTATGGTCTCCTTCCCACATTAGGGTTTTTATCCAAAATATTCACCCCCTAAGTTTAATGGCGTTAAAATATATAGTCAAGCGTGACGCAAGTGTAGGGATTTTTATTAAAAAAATAATTATTTAAAAATATGCTGTAATTGCTGACATCTTAGGCAACAAAGAAGTGTGTGTTTTCGCTTTATTATACAATATTAGTATAGTCGAAAGCAATTTAATGCACTTAACTTTAGCATCCTACTGTACCACAAATTTAATTAACTTAGTGTGGTTACTAAATGGCAAATATCAAAATTTTACGGTGACATGGTACTTAGCTATACTGACGGTAACATTCCAATTTCACAAAATCTTTTGAAAAGTTATAAGATTGCCTTTAATATTTTATGTTGAAATGAAACGAAATACAAAAGAAGTTTTTACTGCGACATAAGTTTTGTGCTATTGTGTTCACATATTATCAACGGAGCGGATCGATTTGGGGTTATAGGACGTTGTTCCTTTGACTATAGAGACACGGACTAAGCATTATTCTACTAAATTCTGCCATTCGTTGGTGCACACAACAATTTACGTATGAAAACCTGTCTGACACCTGTCTGACTGTCCTGTGATTTCTTCTCTGTGATCTTAAAATTAATAAAAAATACAGCCTATGTTACTCACAGATAAATTACCTTTCTAGTGGTAAAATAATTTTTAAAATAGGCCCAGTAGTTTTTACGTAAATCGAATACATACAAAAATACAAATATTTCCTTTTTAAAATATTAGTATAGATATAGATATATCAATTGTTACTTATTTGCGATCGTTTGACAGATCCTGTCTCTTAAATGTCAAAGTCTGCGAATGTCTTTGTATTTGCCGAACACATTAAAATTGCTTGCTCACAAAGGATTAGGTGACTTTTGTGTGTGAGTTCGTTGTTACCAAAGGGAGCATTACAAATCAATCTATTATTTTTCTTTTATATTAAAAATTTATTTTGAATACATCGTTTTTATTTTCCATAGTGTATAATAAATCTGGCAATGTTTTTAAATTATGTCTTATAGTTTAGGCTACGTAAGCAAAGGAAGCAAAAAGACCCCAAATTACGTCACGCGATTTTGAACTTAATTATTTGACTACGGCGTAGTCTTTGACTCCAAAAATAGCACAAAAAAATGGGACGCACCTGTAAGCACTACCTTTCGGATAAAAAAGAATTATCAAAATCGGTCCACCAGCGGCGGAGTTATGCCGTAACACAGATAAAAATAAAATAAAAAAAATATAGACGAATTAAGTACCTCCTTCTTTTGGGAAGTCGGTCAAAAAAAAGGAAGGTATATATGTTTTTTTTTGCGAAATTTCTGTCTACCCTATTAAGGACTGTCGACTGTACTGAGTTCTTACCTTCTTTATATTAATAAAATTACATTGAAAAGGTACATGATATATGTTTTGAAGGATCAGTACTTGAGAGTTGGCAACTTTTGGTTAAGTGAGGTCTGACCTTTTCGAGTGCAATATGAAATCATTTGACATGAATCAGGAAATGTTTGAGTGACTTGAAAATGGCAATAAATTGACTGTCGTCGGATATTTTGTAAGTATACTATGTCTGCTATAAGAGAAGCAGTAAGTAGATTCTAGAAAGACATTAAGAAATACATATACTAGATATAGAAAACATTTTTTCATCGGTAACTTCTTTGAAAGGTACGCTAGTTGTCAAGTTTAGTGCCACGTGACGGTATTGACATGTTATAAAACATTTAAAAAAAAATTATAGTTATAAAATAAAGTAAGTGTCGCAAAATAAAACACAAAATATATATATTATTTAATGACACCTATTGCCAATTAATTTCAATACATTAATTATATTGACATGTGGTTTTGAGGCTATCAATAGATTGCATTAGTAAGATTATTTGAAAAATGTCTTAAATGAAGTGTAAATGCCTCCTCTAGATATTTGTATCTCTTTGCTAAAGAGATATATCTTCTAATGAACGATGAACACATTAAACTTTTTATAAATAAATGTGTCACCACTCTCAAAGTTCAGAGACTAGATATTAAGAGTGAGTTGACCTTACTTGAGGTTTATTGACTTCACACATCTTTATATGTGTTGAATATTCATGTCTTGTTTCAGTGGAAGTGGAGTCTGTCCAGGGGCCGACAGGAGGGCGCGTGGAGTTACCCTGTGACGTCAGCCCCGCGCTCGCCGCGGACCGTGTCGGGCTCGTCATCTGGTACAAGCAGGGACATGAAACACCTATTTATTCGTAAGTAATTGTAAAAAAATATTTTATTGTTTACACTTGTCAAATTCTCAATTGCAAAAGTCAAAATTAATAATAACCTTGCTTTCTTAATTTTGGCAGCTTGTTGTTTATAGTCCCTTACCTAAATGTAGATTTTTTTAATTTATTTACGCGTAGGGCTTTTTATTAAAGACAGAATTATTCAAAAATACGCTGTATTTGCTGACATCCTACGCCACTAAGTATTATGTATACGCTTTATTATATTAGTATAGAAGTATAGATAAAATAAAGATAGAAGTATAGAGGGGAGGCTGAAAACCAGCGCGACCTTCAGTGACAAGCTGGAGGCTGCATCAGCTGAGCCTTTTCCTTTTGGCCAAGAATTTTTATCTTTATTTTTATTTCAGTAATATAAATTGTAAGTTGTGTTCTTTTAATTTTTGTTTGGTCAATAAATAGTGTTTTATTATTTATTTATTTAAACCTTACAGATGTAGTTTTGAAAAATATTTGTTTTGATCTCTTTATGTTGCTGAATAATTAAGTTTATTGTGATTAAATGTTGTGGAACATTCTAAAGAGGTTATAAAAGTTCTAGCTGAAGGTCTTTAATTGTTATTTTATTGTAGAAACTATGTTTGAATAACAGTGAGAAAGTTATGATAACCGTCTAGTTAGAAGTCATCTCAGCCATATTAGTACCAGTTTTTCGAGGTTTACACTTGGTCAGTGGTCCAGTTGGTCAGTAGCATTTAATAACTGGAGTGTCTACTGTCTACTGGCACAGTGTCCACATTGTGTGGCACGCTCACAGCCCGTGAGTTCATAAAATGTATAACTGGTCGTCACAACTATCCAACTGAACTGCCCAGGGCGCTAGACATAAAGGGAAGTCACACCCCCCCCTTCATCGTATAAGTTTGTATTGTAGTTTAGGGCTGTAGTAGAAATCTTGCCCAAAGCGTTGGTAATGTTAAAACCGGTCCTGTGTATAAATATTTAAATGAGTAGGAAGACTGCTGATTGGTATGTGTACAGTAATATCCACTTACGACCTTTCAAACCCTCATTACAGTGTCCGGTCCCTTCGCCCCTTGTTTACGCATCTCTTATCCTCATCAAAACGATGAAAGACCTTTGTTATTCAGGTAGGGTACTGACATAGAGGATGTTCACACGACCCCAGATTTGACACACCGATAACATACGTCACTGTGAAACTGTAATATTAGTTGATTTTTCTATTAATCTATATCTATACATATACTAAAATTGGAGTGCTGTTTGTAACATAAAAAGAAATTTTTCAGATTTGAGTAAGATGATGTGTATGTATTGTTGATAACGAAAATCGCATTTAATTTTTTTTAACTATTTTTATTAACCTAAAAGAATGTTCTGCGATTTTCAATTTATCTAAACTTATTTTAGACATAACGCCATACATGTCGGAGAGAATCGCACAGAATGGAGAAACACCCTTCGAGAGAGTGTCAAGAAGAGTGATCGCGACCCTCAGGAATGAGGAAACGATCCGGAGAGAGAGAGAAACTTATTTTTATTTATTAAACAAAATCGTAAAAACCAGATTTTTCAACTGCAATTTGGTCATGTGTCTAAAACATTGAGTTTACAGTGTTTTTTTCTTGTGTTTTTAACAATATCTAATAATACTTTGTTGTATTCAGGTTGGACGCTAGAGAGGGTATATCGTCGCAGTGGTCGGACCCAGCGACGTTAGGAAACCGAGCTACGTTCAGAACTAATACCACGCCTGCTGTGCTCATGCTGACTAAACTAAGGTAACAATACAGTTCATAAAGAACCCACTGTACTATTGTCAAGAGCAGTCGCACACCTTTGACTAACCAATCGCACTGTTGTCCGATTGTCGATTGTTTCTCAGCCCATTCAACTATATATTTGCACAACTAAAAATCGAGTAGTGTATACCTCTAGTAAGCTTATAGGAATCAAAGTTTGATTAAATATTTTTAGAGTTGACAGTAGTAGAAGCTTTAACATCTTCGAACGAATGGGTCGGCTCGCCCGGTGTAATACCACGACCACACAGATAGGCGTGAAGTGGAAGCAATTACGCTTTGGTCTGATGAGTGTGGTACCTGAGACCCAAATTAGTCACTTTGCCTTCCCACCCTTTTTGTTATAAGAAAAGGATGGGAAGGAAACGTGGATTTGAAGGTGGAGGAGACGCATAGGGAGAAGAAACATCCTCTTTATGCGTTTCTTTCGTCAATTAAGGGTAGACATCCGCTATTGCGAATGTCTATTAGCAGCGGTTTGGGTGGATTCAGATGGCCGATTGCAGGTTTGCCATCTTACAATATAAAACAAAAAACAGTTGTGCGACAGTTTAGTCAAAGAGGCACGCTCTAAGAGATACGGAATTCCTGTATTCTAGGTATCTACGATTGAATGCAATTTTGATCAATCAAATCGTTAGAATTCAACAGGGAATCTGTTATAATGGAATCAGAGCTGTTGCTTATGACAGTTGATTAAATTACGTCTTAATGTGGAGATATGTCGTGTACTGATGTAGAATTAATGAAATGCATTAGAATAGACGCTCAGTGGAATTTCCCCTTTAGAGTATGTTAGTTTGATTTTTTTAAATCTTTGTTAGGGGAGATTTTTGTCTTTGGAAAAACATGTAAATCCCATAGTGCTATTCTTTGTGTTTTAGATTAGTTTAATTTGTCGTAATAATTTAAAATAGAGTTCTTTTAGAAACCTTAATGATTTTAATTTTGTGTATGTTACCGGAAATGTACGATAACTAGGTATTGTATACTTTGTCTAGGATAAGTATACAAGTTTCAAAGATTGTTAAATACGGACATATCCTGGTAATTACACAATTAATGTTATGCGACGAAATGATGGGGACATAAACCAGAAAGTGTTAAGACTGAATGCGATATGCTTAAGAAAGGAGTGGATTCAGATATAACTGATAGAGATGTATGGAAGCAGCACATACTGTACCGACCCTCCGTAAGGGATAAGGGCAAGTGGATGTTGATGATCCTGGTAATTAAACATTGGAATACCAAAATCGTAATAAGCAAGGTATGAAAATGTTTTCTATGAATAAAATTGTTAAATAGCATTCGTGGGTTCTCATTAATTCCAAGTGATTTTAAGAGTTATACATTACCTAGGAATTCTGTACAATGACGGATTTCATACATTTCTGTCAACATATAAACTCCTACAGTCTTACAAATTTTTGAATTGTTTTTTTTTTTCTACACAGGCCAGAAGACAGCGGTCAGTACAGATGTCGTGTGGACTTCATAAAGTCGCCGACAAAGAACACGAGATTGAACCTCACAGTACTTAGTAGGTACTCTTTATGGATTATTCAATTAATTAGTGAATAGTTTTTTTTTTATAATTTTATAAAAAATGACATTAATATGCAATAAAAGTATGCAGCTGATTGCCTCAAGTTTATGTAAAACTAGCTTACACCCGAATTCGTTCGCGTGGGATAAAAAAAACAAAAGTGAGTAGCCCATGTGTTCTTCCAGACCACCCTCTACAACTATACCAAATTTCATTGCAATCCGTTCACTCGTTTAGGCTACAAACTCTAACAAACATCCATCCATCTATACTTTCGCATTTATAATATTAGTAAGATATATGAAAGTATGATTATACGTGAAAAAAATGTATAAAATGAGAAACTGTTGAAATTCAAAAGCATTGTATTACCTTACTTCTTACTAATAACTTATATACGAAGGTTTCTCATAAAAGTCTCGATTTGGCATAGATGTGAGGATAGTCTGGAAGAACACATAGGTTACTTACTTTTGTTTTTTTTTTTAATTCCACGCGGACGGAGTCGCGGGCGATAGCTAGTTAGATGTAAGTTAAATGTAAACGAAAAAGAAAAAATACCTTGTTATTTTAATCACAAAGTCAATGTATTCTATCTATCGATGTTGATTTTAATCCGATCAAAAACATCGATATCATATTCGATGTTTATCAGTTACATCACTATACGGCGGTTTATAAAAGGCTCGTTAGGTTACAAAAAGAAAGCTTACGCCATTGAGATGTTATCTGACCCTACTTAATACCCTTTGAATATCGATATATTCAAGATGCTTGAGTTTTTATCATATTTCAATATTAGATCATCATCATCCACTTGCCCTTATTCCTTATGGAGGGTCGGCACAGTATGTGCTGCTCTTCCATACACCTCTATCAGCCGTCATATCTGAATCCACTCTTTTCTTAAGCATATCTTCTTTCACACAATCTATTCATAGTTTCTTCGGTCTTCCCCTTCCTTTGTAGCCATCCACATTCAATCTCAACACTTTCTGGTTTATGTCCCCATCATTTCGTCGCATAACATGTCCATACCACGCTAACCTTTTGCTTCTCAATTTCTCCACCACTGGCGCTACTTTCAAACTTCCTCTAATGTACACATTCTTAACTTTATCCAATCTTGTCACACCACACATCCATCTTAATATACGCATCTCAGCCACACGCAATCTCCTTTCATCCGCAACTTTGGTGGCCCAACATTCATATCCATACAATACGACAGGTCTTATGATGGACTCGTAGATCTGTCCCTTGTCCCTTTCAATATTAGATATAAGCAAATATTACACGTAATATTACACGAATTTTTAAATCTGTTATTTTTTTAAAATTTATATTAAAAACACATAAAACATAAACTCATAAACTGTACCCTGTTTGTATTTAATTAGATTTAAATTTAATTGTTCACTAAGTGTCCATTAGTATGAAATCTACTAAGGGTACTTTAATTGCGGCACACTGATTCTAAACGTGGTAATTTCGTAGTAGAAGGATTTATAAAACTACTATCTTTCCGCGAATCCTTCCGCGTGGAATTTAAAAAAAAGTATGTATCCTAAGTATTTTTCCAGACTATCCTCTACATCTATGCCAAATTTCATCGAGATCTGTTCAACCATTTAGGCTACAAACTCTGACATGAATCCATTCATTCATCCATCTAAACTTTCGCATTTATAATGTTAGTAAGAAGTAAGATTTAATTGTTTTTCTCCTTGACAGTACCACCTGATCGACTAATTGTGTTGAACGAGAGCAATGATGAAGTCCACGGGAACATACTGGGGCCTTACGATGAAGGGGCTGATGTGAATTTGACATGTATAGCTGTTGGAGGTATTTTAAATAACTTTTTATTTTAAATGTCTTTGTTTATAATCTTTTATCATCCACTTGCCCTTAACCCTTACGGAGAGTCGACACAGTATGTTCTGCTGTCATATATCTCTATCAGCCGTCATATCTGAATCCACTCCCTTCTTAAGCATATCCTAATTCACACAATCCATCAATACTTTCTTCGGTCTTCCTCTACCTTTGTAGCCACATTTACATTGCTTGCCACAGCTACATTCATTCTTAACACTTTCTGGTTTATGTCCCCATCGTCTCGTCGTATAACATGTCCATTCCACGCTTACCTTTTGCTTCTCAACTTCTCCACGTAAGAATGTAAATGAACATTTGAAATTCGAAACTCGCAAAATACATATCACGGATCCAAACTGGATCTTTAGATTATGGTCCAGTAAATTAGGTCAAGGATCTTTATATTGTTATTAATATAAAAAGAAAACTAAATTGTTCATCAGTATAACTTAAGTTACAAGACAACCAAGTTCGGTTCCAACTTCTAAAACTAATACAAGTTGTGACACGCCCTCTCTTATTCAATCGATATCGCCACTTGTACCATTTCCCACGACATGTTCTCACATACGTAAGCAGTTTACGTTAATGTCACCGAACGATTGTGAAATTTGCCATTTTATAATCGACATAAATGTACTTTCAAGATACAAACAAAACAATTGCTAGTGAGTTATGAGATTTACTTCGCTTTAATATTTTATTTCACTTCACAAGTTCCTTTTCGTTGCTTAAATGTCGTGAAATTTTTTGTAAAATTTTCTTGGTATGTGAAGGTTGTATTTCTGAAATAACCGCAACAGAAACGCCTTTCCCATGGTCTGTGGTATTCTTGTTTGACTGTACAAATAAATGTTTGGTGATAATTTAAAATCTTATATTTAAGATTTCATAATGTCGGAGTTTACAATCGTTCAGCTACATAAGAAATCTTACGTGCATTTCATGTTTCAAGTATTTTATAAGACTACGTACACGCAACTTGATAAATATGAAGTTTTTATGCATTTCTTGGTTTCCTTTTTGTAGAGTTTGCTTTTATTTTATACCAGTTTAAAATAGCGTTTATTTATTAACGGTAACAGAAATATTATTTAAGCTGCATGTTACCCTCAAATCTATACTAATATTATAAAAAAGAAAGATCTGTATTTTTGTATGTATTGAAATAACTCAAAAACTACTAGGTAAATTTCAAAAATTCTCTCGCCATAAAAGAGCTACGTTATTATTAACATAGGCTATATTTTTTATTATTTTTAATTTCACGCGGACGAAGTCGCGAGGAATAGCTAGTATTTATTCTACTAATATTCAATTATCTATAAGACTCTTAAGTCTCGCCTATAAGACTTGTCAATTCATTACAACTTAAAAAAGAAAATCGTTTTTTTAATCTTTATTCAAAATGTAATTCATCGAAAGTCCGTGGCATAATGAACCTCTTGTCATTGCCATATGAGAAAATAAAAAAAAAACATTGCTTTGAAATACAAAAGTGTAAAAAAGTAAATTAATTGGAATGTCGAATAAAATAAACTTTTTCGATTTTAAGCTTTTCATGTTGATTGAAGTTGCAGAGTAATATAACATTTCAATATGAAAAAGTGTTTCTGACGAGTTATTTTTGGTCATTTTTATTCACTCTTTGTTGTATTCTCGAAACTACGAATTATGAAAACTAATTTCATAGATTCATAAGAAAGTCTAATTTAATATTTACTAAATATTTTTATTAATTTAGTATTACACTATTAAACTACTAAAATTAATTAAGAATTGTTTAATAAAAAGCATCACTCACAGTACAGAAAACTCATTTATAGTCATGGGTAAAACAACATTCATGATCTGCAGATCAGTGATCCGGTTCGCATCTCATTTGTACATGAATAGAGCTATGATTTTCGCTCGCTCGCATAGTTACATCGTAGTGATCCGCGAGCTGCAAATTTAGCTGATCCACTCAACGCTTAAAGACTGATTAACATCATCTCTTTCATTTTCCATAAATAAAATGAAATAACAATATTTAATCTATATGCCAGATGGAAACTTAAGCCAACGTTTTAAACAACCTTGTGTCCACAGGTCGTCCAATCGCGAGGGTATCATGGTGGAAATCACACGCATTATTAGCTAATTCAGAATCAAGAGCGTCAGTCTCCTTTAGCTTGCATAGACCTGACTTCGGCACCGAGATTACATGTCAGGTAAATTTATTTAAGTCGTAATCGAATCATTTTTATAACGAATGATCCCAACTCAATGTGATGTGATCGAATCGTACAAGTGTACATGCCTATTCCCTCAACTCTTAAGAGCGTAATACACTTAAACTACCTCACAACTGTTTAGTCTTGCTTTGATTCCTATGTGTTTATTAGGAGATGTGTACACTACTCTATTTTTAGTATTGCAACTAAACAATTGAATTGCGAAACAATCGACAATCGCATAACAATGCGATGGTTTAATCAAAAGTGAGCGCCCGCTATAAAGGTTTAGCTTTCATCAATCAGTTAACTAATAAATACCTACATTAATTCCTTTTGACGTTTAGATTGTTTTACAGCAGATATTAAAGTATATGCGCTTTATATTTGACTTAATGAATACATGTAGGGTTTATCAAATAGTGTATGAAATAAAATTATGATTTTTTTACAGGCAGTGACAGATCCATCGATACCGCCTTTATCGCACAGATTATCTATAGACATGAACTGTAAGTATCTAGAATATCAGAGAGGAATTTCAAAATATACCTTCATGGGAAAAGATAGGGTTAAATTATACTTGACTCATTTAAAACCGCTCAGTAGCATTCTCGAATGCGACTGCACTGAGCTGCACAACCCAGGTGAGACAGAACATCCCTAGTGTCTTACGGACTACAGCAACTTAGGACCGCACATCGTTCTTATCTTCACTAGGTTACTTATTGTTAAAGTCTATATATAGCAGTGAATTGATATATTGATATGTCATAGAAATAAAGGAGTTTCCAGAGTTGTATAAGCAATTGCGAATATTTAATTTCCGCTTCCAATTACGAGTCTTATTTCCACTCGATTCACGTAAGACCCATTCTCTTTACCACCCTTTTCCTTTAAGGAGAGCATGGGAAGGGAAAGTGGATTTGATGGAGAAGGAGATACACAGGAAGGGGAATATCCTCTTTATGTGCGTCTCCTTCTCTGTCGGATAGGGATAGGCAACGCATCTGCAAATGCGGATGTCTATGGGCAGTGGTCGCTTCGCCATTTTGCGGATTCAGGTGGCCGCTTGCTCGTTTGCACCCTTATGTTATAAAAAAAAAGATACCAACTTTAGTGGAAATATACATTAAAGAAGTTCTTTTGTCAACAGTACCTCCACTCTCTGTACGCATACAAGGGGGTAAACGACCCTTGGTTGCTGGTCAAACTTCGGAATTGTCCTGTCAAGTGGTGGGGGCTAGACCCAAACCGGTTATAACTTGGTGGAAGGGGGGTACCAAGTTAAATACAGTTAGGGATACCGTGAGTATTAAAATTGCATTTAAATAAAAAGAGATAGCATGACTTTATATTAAAATTAATTAGTAATCTGTCATTAAAAAGTAGTTTTTACTAAAACTAAGATAAGTTCATGTGTGTTATTGTTGAAACAATGTAAAATGTTGCGATAAATTGTGAATTTTTCGCACCCACTTTAGAAAAGGTTCTCATTGTTATATATTTTAAGTGTTTTCTTCATTGTAAGGAATATATTTTACGGTTTTTCGTGTGTATATTTAATGAATGTAAATGGCTATATAAATATTTTTTATTTATTGTAACTAGAGTTGGCGTTGAGCCAAAGTATGTATTCGAACGACACGTAAATTACAAGTGATTTTCGTCGACTCATTTCGAGTGGGTTAAAGTGATTTCTAATAATGAACTATATATAACTTTTATATTGAAATATTTTTAATTTCCAACTTAATTTTATAATTTTAAAATAATTTCTGGGTAAAAATAAAAGCAAATGTCATCTCATCGGACTTATTGACAAATTGGACTTATTGAAAGATATTTGAAATTTAATTATCATTCCTTTTTTATTTTTTTTAATTTCAAGCTGACGAATATATAAAAAAGTGCTCATTTTGGCTCTATTTGTTTAAGTTAAAAGTTACTTCTTAAGATAACTTAAATATTATTTCACATTTTCATGTCTTACTAACCATTCTATTTTTTAGACATCAATGGACGGCAACATAACAGTTAGTGTACTGACTTTTATCCCGGCGATCGAAGACGCGGGCAGAGTATTGTCTTGCAGAGCTACCCAGCCCGCGGTGTCTCATACTACGAGAGAAGACGGCTGGAAGTTGGAGATACAACGTAAGTTATACGATACTAGCTGTTGCTCGCGAATTCGTTTACGTGACATTTAAAACATGGTATTTCTTACTCAGCGACGACGCAGCTTTTTAATGGTGAAAGAATTTTTGAAATGTGCCTATTTTTGAGTTATTTTAATGCATACAAAAATACAGATTAAGGCCCTTTTCCACTAATGTCATGGAACAAAGAGGTATTGTAGAACAGTGTAGTGATGGTTGATTGGCAGTTATTTGTAGAGCCAATTAGGAGTCCCAGACTATGCTAATATTATAAAGATTTGTATTTTTGTATGTATTGGAATAACTCAAAAACTACTATGCCGATTTCAAAGATTCTTGCACCATTAGAGAGCAAAGTTATCAGTGAGTAAGGCTGTATTTTCTTTTTTTTAATTTCGCGCGGACGAAGCCGCGTGCAACATCTAATGATATATAAAAACGTCAACAAGTAAATGAAATTCGATAAATTATATTAGCGGTGTATAGAAAACCGTGTAATTTTTATAGCTGTATGAGTTTTTTTTGCCAACATAAATACAAAAAAAATATTCTGTTTTTAGAAGCATTTACAACAGTAAGCTTTCGAAGACTATCTTAGAATTAAAAATATTAAGTAGCCTTTGTTTCCAGACTATGCTTTACATCTATGACTTTCATCCAGATCTCTTCAGCAGTTTGGGGTCCAAACTCTAACAAGCATCCATCTAAATTTCGCATTTGTTAGTAAGATAAAGAAATCAGATATTTTCTTTAATATTTAGTTAACTGTGTTAAATTGCACATTCTTTAACGAAATTTCTATAAACTAGTGGTATTAACGGTAGTGGTATATAATTAAACAGTGGTAGTGCCCGGTGTAATACCACGACCACACAGAAGACAGGCGTGAAATGGAAGCAATTCCGTGTTTCGTCTGATGAGTGTGGTGCCGGAGGCCTAAATTAAATCCATTTCTCTTTACCATCCTTTTCTTATTAGAAGAGGATGGGAAGGGGAAGTGGATTTGACAGTGAAGATGCATAGGAAGGGGAAATATCTTCTTATGTGCGTCTCCTCCTCGTCTATGGGTATTGGTCGCTTTGCCATTTTGGCGGATTCATCTGGCCGCTTACTCGTTTGCCACCTTGTGTTATAAAAAAAAAATCGCACAGATTTCTGTTCCAAATATTTGAATATTAATTTATGTAAGAGGTTTAATTTCACAAAGCTGAGCATAATGGTCGTTATTAGATCAACTGTTCTCACTCGAGATAAGCTGAATTGCCAATTTTACAGATATTAAGGTTAGTTGGTCCGCTGGGATCTTACTTTGAATTAGTTATTAGGCATAGATTCTTATTCAAATATGAAAATAAATCGAATTAGGATTTAACAGTACATCGAAAAGAAAATCTTCTATTAATGACAATCTTATTAATAATATAATAAACTAGCTATTCCCATGCGACTTCATCAGCATAAAATTATAAAAAAAATCATTTTATTGTTCAAATTTGTCAAATTGTCAATTGCAAATGTCAAACCATGGCGACCTTGCTTCCTTGATGTTGGCAACAACTTATGGTCTCTTTCCCACATTAGGGTTTTTATCCAAAATATTTACCCCTAAGTTTATTGGCGTGAAAATATATAGCCTAAAGCGGGACGTAAGTGTGGAGCTTCTTATTAAAAAAAGAGTTATTCAAAAATGTGCTGTAATTGCTGACATCTTAGGCAACAAAGAAGTGTGTGTTTACCCTTTTTATAATAGTATAGATGTGGAAATTTAGATAGATGGATGTTTGTTAGAGTTTGTAGCCTAAACTGCTGAACGGATTTTGATGAAATTTGGCAGAGGATAGTCTGGAATAACACATAGACTACTTACTTGTCTATTTTAATTCCACGCGGACGGACTCGCGGGCGAAAGCTAGTATAATAAATAAAAATCTAACTGTTTATTAAAGACAACGCATCTGAAATTCACATATCTATTCCTCGTGTGCAGTGTTAATTCTCTACTAGAAATAAAGACATTAAAAAATATATAGACGAGGCAGTTAATAAAACTTTTTCACTGGTACTTTCTCTGAAAGGTACTATACCAGTTGTCAAGTTTAGTGCCACCTCGTGTTGTATTGACATGGTATACATTTGACAAAATTATAATAAGCTCCATCTTTTGTTGTAAAATAAACTAAATTGTATTTCAAAATGAAATATAAGCATTAAAATATCAATTAGTGACATCTATTGGCCAATTTGAACAAAATTAATTATATTGACATATGGTTTTGAGGTTATCAAAAGATAACGTTAGTTATGTGAAAAATGCCTCAAGTGAAGTGTTAACTATGCCTCTTTGACTAGAAAGTAGATATATAAACATTCAGATATGACAATATGCTTTTATTTGCAGATTTGCCAGTTGTTACTTTGAAGTTTGGAGCAAATATAGACGCGAATAGAGTCATAGAAGGTTCAGATATTTATTTGGATTGCAGAGTACGAGCAAACCCGTGGTACAGTAATGTACATTTTACTCACAACGTAAGTATTTCTCAGAGTATAAGCAGCATGTTAAACCTTTAATTAAAAATCGTTTAAAACGTCCATACGTAACAGTTTAAAGTCTGTTAGCCACGCTCAGTTTTATCAGACAGTTGATAAATCTAACAAAACTGGAAATTGTTCTGTTCTCAGTTTTGCCTTCAATAGGTTAATCTGAACATTCCGACTGTTACTAATAGTGAGTTTAAAATTATTTGTTGCTTATGGTTTTCACGATTTTTATGTCAGACGAGCTGTTTCCCGCGACTTAGTCCGCGTGGTATTAGAAAACATACGAACTATATAAATAACAAAAAGCTACGTATCCCACGGGAACCGGACATTTCTTGGGGATGAACCTTTTCCTATGTGTACTCTAGACTTTGTTTTACATCTGTGCCAAATTTAAATAAGATATGTTGAACCGTTGCAGTACGATCGAGTAAACATTAAAAAACTAAATTAATGAATCCCACGGGAACCGTAACTTATCCCGGGATAAAAAGTAGCCTATGTGTTCTTCCAGACTATGCTATAAACCTGTGCCAAATTTCATGGAGATACGTTCAGCCGGTTAGGCTACAAACGCTAACAAACATCCATCCATCCATCCATCCATCCATCTAAACTTTCGCATTTATAATATTAGTGAGATTAGTAAGATTGTAATCTAAAGCGTAAAGTCTATGTTGTATAATCAGGTGACAATCGACTTTTATTTATCTCCACAGTATAAAACATCAGAGTATTTTTTTAAATCAGTAACTGGTAACTAAACCTTTGACAAGAATCTCCTTTGTCCTTGACGTTCTTGAGGACCTGTCCTATTGACCATTTTAAAAGGGTTTAAACACACCTCCGTGATTCCGTCCATGTGGCATTAAAAAAACAAAAGTGAGTAGCCTGTGTTCCTCCAGATTATGCTCTACATCAATGCCAAATTTAATCGAGATCCGTTCAGCAGTTTACAGCAAACTCTAACAAACATTTATCTGAATTTTCGCATTTATAATATTACTAAGATTGTTTAAATAATTGTTTGTGTTCAGGGTTTAACAGTGAAGGCTGGACCAGGTGTATTGTTAGCTAACCAGAGCCTGGTGCTGCAACGTGTCTCGCGGCAGGCGGCCGGAGCTTACGTGTGCTCAGCGACTAATGCCCTCGGGGATGGGATGAGTACACCCTTATTGTTGGATGTTAAATGTAAGAGAATTTTGAATTTTAAAACTATAAACATAAAGTTACATGAACATAAAAGTATCTGAATTGATTGTTGATTACGAAGGAAGGCCGAAGTATGTATGGATTGTGTGAAAGAGGATATGCTTAAGAGAGTGAATTCAAATATAAACATATACTGTGCCTACCCTCAATAGGGACAAGAGCAAGTTGATGATGATGACATTTAAACATGTGTTTTAAATAGACCGCTGTTCATTCATATTAAGGCTTTCAACGTTATCTTCCACCGTAAATACATTGCTTTCTGTATATGTACTTTATTATTTATTAGTTAAGGTCGCATTTCGCTTACATTAAAACGTTAAAAATCCACGCCGTTAGTCACGGTAAAAGGGTTTAGGTTTAAGCTAAAATTTAGTTTATGACTTATTTTGTTATTGTAACGATGAAAAATGTTATCTTGTTATAATTTTATCAATCAATCTTTCTTGTTTCTTTGTGTTTTAATGACAGTTTGTTATTGATAGAAATATTTTCACCAGACGCGCCGAGCTGCAAATCGGAACAGACGATCAATATGAGAGCGGCGCGGGGAGAGGTGCTCGAGATTCAATGCGATGTCGACTCTAATCCTAAAGTAAGAGAGTACATTATTATTCAATCATAAGTTGTTTTTTTAATTTGGTAATTTAATGTAAATATTGTTAACCATTTTTTCATGACCAAGGTTTTTGAGTGGGTAATAGAAGAGATTAAGTTAGTGATAAAGTATGGGAATAATGTAATAATTCTGATCGAGTGCGGAATAAGGAAGATGGAGTAAGGATAGAGTAGAGACGAATAGATCTATCCTCGCGTAGTGATAGATTAGCAATGGGAAACCATTTGTATATATTTTAGAATACAGACTGTTGTTGTTTTTATAATAATAATATTTTTACTAAGAGATTCTGACAATCAAATTTACATTTAAAATTCAAACTAATTGAAATGTAAAACCAACATTATATGAAAACAAAATTGTTAAAATCTATTTCGAGATAGCCAAAATAAATCTTAAAAAGAATCGACATATACCTAAGAGGGGACAGGCAGAAAGACAGACATTTATCCTAGCTATGCATACTTCCCATCCTTCCGTTGTACGATGGAAAGGGAAGAGGACTATAGATCTATGGTACGCACACCACACTCCTTACCCGCAACTTGTGTTTCGTCGTTTGACTTCACTTTCGTGTATTCTGTTTGGTCGTAATATTGCACCGGGTGAAGATGTTACGGGCTACCACTGTTATAATATGTACCAATGTTTAGGATGTTTGTAGCCATATAACCTCAAAACCCTCGAACGGATTTGTATGAAATTAGGCAGAGAGATAGATTACATTCTGGTATTGGACATAGAACCAATTCCCTTTTGTCTAACCTCCAAACACGGGTATCAGTAAAAATGCTCACTGCGTAACAGGCCTATGTAACTTACACGGTACTTAAGCTGGTACGGACGAAGAAAACTATGCCCATTATATAAAATGTACATTATGTTTACACAAAGTTGTAGCAATTTAATCTATCCTAGTACTGGTGGGTCTAAAAAGGCCTGCCACGCACTGGCGGATATCATTGGGGGCGCATTTCGGCCCGCCGCCGCACCAGATGAAGAATTATGATTTTACTTGCCGCAGTGAATGTGTTAATATTTTATTTTTAATAACAGATAGCAGTGTCATACCAATGGTGGTTCAACAGCACTACACACAGCCGACGAGAATTGAAAACATCACACGTACAGAAAGTAGGTGAGTAAATGATTGAATGGAAATCATACAAAAACACATAACTTATCGTTTTTTAAGTAAAGTATACCATTCTATTGGCTACTTATTTCAGCGAAATGACATTTGGCATTAAAAATTATTGAACTCGAGAACAAGATTGAACTGTAATTTTAACTGCACAGTTGGCAGTGTTGTCATTACACCTTTAGTTTTAATTGTACAGTTCGAATGTGCACTTAAAACTGAATGTGTGTACGGGGCTTAATAAAGATAGATTGAACAATAAAACAATGGGTAATTAAACTTAGAGATGCGATAAAAAAATTCTACATACTAGAAAAATAAGTATACCAATATTATAAAGAGGAAAGATTTGTATTTTTGCATTTTTTTATGAATTGGAATATCTTAAAAACTATTGGGCTGATTTCAAAGATTTTTTCACCGTTTAAAAGCTTTATCTGTGAGTAACGTTTTTATAAATCTCTAATTTCACACAGGCGAAGCCGCGAGCAACAGCTAGTGATTCAATATGATTAAGTTAATAAGTAAATAAACTTATAACAATCTTGTTATGCGCTTGCGAACAGCTTAGGAAATTTTCTTATGAAGTAATGAAAATTTTCATTTCAAAGAAGCAGCTTTTCAAGGAAGCACTTTCAGGCGTGCAACGTGAAAGTTGTAACTGAAATTAATATTAAGTTTAAATTACCAAACAATGTACTAGGGAATAATAACTAATTTGTAAAACTTACCTCAGCGAATATTAAATTCAGTCGAGGACGTTAATTTCCTATGCACTTCGCTAAAATTTTCACAATGAAACAGTCACAGTAAGATACATATCAGCTAAAGAATAATTATGGTATCAGTATGCTGTAATAGATACTAAGGGCCTGTCACACCACTGGTTGATAGAGACTCAGATAACTTAAAAATGACGTCACTGTCAGATCGACAAAATCCGTTGTTTCCATCACATATTGGATTGTTATCTGACAATTTACAATTTGGTGGGACAGGCCCTAAATCATCTTCAACCTGCTCTTGTCTTACGGAGTATGCACAGTATACTCTTCCATACATCTCTATCAGCCGCCGTATCTGAATTCACTCCATTAATCATATCCACTTACACAAACTATGCTTTCTTCGGACTCCCTCTACATTTGTTGTTTTTATACTTTCTTGTCTATGTGAACATCATCTCCTTTTGCTTCTCAATTCCTCTATCACTGTCGTTACTTTCAAACTTCCTCAAATATTAAATTTTTAACTATTTATTAAGTGGTAAGTGTATTTAATTCTTTGACTGTACATTTCGGCAGTGAAATCGTCTATAATGTAATGTTTTGTTACATTTTTTAATGAACAGTCGCATGCTTTCTTTCCTTTGCATTTCTTCGTGGAAATTTATTACATTTAGTACCGTGTTTAACTGTTATGTAACTTACTGCAGTGACCCCGATACATGTATCACGTAAAAAGAAATCGCAGAAATTGATACTATTTTCTTTGTAAAGATAATATTTTAGTTATCGATACTATAATAAAGCGTAAAGACACACTTCTTTGTTGCCTAAGATGTCAGCAATTACAGCATATTTCTAATTATACTCTTTTTTATTAAAAAGTCCTAAACTTACGTCACGCTATAGGCTACATATTTTCACATTAAACTTAGGGGGTAAATATTTTGGATAAAGACCCTAATGTGGGAAAGAGACCATAAGTTGCTGCCAACATCAAGAAAGCAAGATTGCTAACGTTTGTCATGTCATGTCATTTTGACATTTGCAATTGACAATATGACAAATGTAAACAATAAAATAAAATTTTCATAATTTCATGCGAATAAAGCCGCACGGGAACAGCTATTTATATTAGGTATAAGGAAATTCTTTTGTATGTGTCTTAAAAAATTATATACTTCAAATACTTTCACTATAAAATCTAACATAGAGTAAACTTTTGGATATCATAATCTGACTAGCTTTCGCCCGCGACTCCGTCCGCGTGGTATTAAACAAAACTAAGTAGCCTATGTGTTCTTCAATACTATCACTACATCTATACCAAATTTCATCTAAATCCGTTTAGTCGTTTAGGCTATAAACTTTAACAAACATCCATCCATCTAAACTTTCGCATTTATAATATTAGTATGAAGTACATGTTACAAGTATTATTATTATAATCATGTCGAATTATTTATTAATTAAGGTGCTATTTTACATATACTTGTTTTTGAAGATATTTGATTTAAATTTCTTTACTAGCTGTTGCACGCGACTTCGTTGAGGTGAAATTAAAAACGAAGCATATGTTGCTCACTGATAGTGTAGTTTTTTAGTGTAGGAGTTTTTACAATCGGTCCAGTAGTATTTAAGTTATTTTAATATATAGAAATATACAAATCTTTTCTCTATATAGTTATTAGTATAGATTAAACGTTACTTATATTTTTAATAGTTCTTTTCATCAACAGGTTCGTATTCGTATACAATAAATTCTATGTCGGACTACGGTTGGTTGCAGTGCCTTGCGTCAAATACTGTTGGATCACAGACAACACCGTGCGTTTATCATATACTACCTGCAGGTATATACTAGTTTTCATTAAACAAAAACCACTCAAAGGAAGTAATCGAATCGAATATCACTAGGATAGGAGGCCTAATCTAAGTCCCTTTCCCTTTCCACCCTTTTCTCCAGTTGAAAGGATGGGAAGGAAAAGTGGATTTGACGGTGGAGGGGGCATACGAAGGGGAAATAGTATCTGTTTCTCCTTCGTCAATTAAGGGTAAGGAAGTAAACTTTAGCTCATTGCCCTCCTATCTTATATTTACTTTAAAATAGTTCCTGTATCAATTTTGGAATCGTTCGTTCACTCGAGATGTCTACAAATGTTTGATAGAATGCAATATGTGTTACGAAAAGGAATATTTGACCTACATGTGAACGTCTATATCGATCGATAACTTCCTTTCGGATGCTTATATTCCTGAGGGTTTATTACGAATACTTGTGAGAATGTTTACGTAGTTTTATCGACATTTTTAGTCACGAGTAAGGCATTTTTGTAGGTCATATTTGACACTTTATCGAAAGTCAAAGGTACTATGTTACACAAATCGAAAAAAAACTATTTTTTTAAACAATTGAAATTAATACATGTGTGTTTTAAATCCCTATCGAATATTTTACAATAATCAATATTTTTAGCAGGTCACTTCACCATAAATCTAAAATTGATGACTCAAATATGACCTATTAAAATGGCCCCACTATTATTTGTGCAACACCTACTTGTAAATTACATCGACAAATCTCATAACAATGCGTTACGAATATTATCGCAACTGTCTCGCAATCATTCGTGGTAGACCCTCAGATTTTGACATGACAAATGTTTTCCGTTCTAAATTATAACAAATATTTTTAGAGAGGCCGAGTACAGTGAGACATTGTGATATTAAAAATGTTACTTACGACTCACTAATAATAAACTGCGCACCCGGACATGACGGGGGATTGCGACAGACGTTTGTTCTGGAGGTAAGTTACCAGTCGTTTGTGAACTTTCATATTTAGCAAACAGACTAGAAAAAGCTGCAAATTGTCATTCAAATTGTAAAGAATAAATTTTACACACAATTCAATTAAATTTAAAAATAATTACGCCAATTGTAGCACTAATAAATCCTTAAATGATCATTATTGGAGTCAGTGTAGATTATTATGAATAAGCTATACTGCGGGTCTGTTTATGTAACTCATACAAAAATTATTGTGTACTTCGCTACCTTCAGTTTAAACCAAACAGTTGAACTTTACAAGTTAAAAACCGAGGTGTGTTACAGTCATTATTATTAATAATAATAATAATAATAATGTTAATTATATAATAATAATGTATTATTGTATGTATGTAATGTATTATTAATGTTAATTATGTATTAATAATAATAATAATAATTGTGAATTAATGTTCTTCGAACAAGTGATATGAGTCACGAGATGTTCCGACCGATCATGTATTACGAGCTTTATTTTAGGTGTTCGATAAAGCAACAGGTATCCTTCTACGTAACATAAGCAACGAGGAATCGAATTTCGAAGTGCCAGGTTTAAGTTCCACTGAATTATCACTCGCAATACGTTCATACAATGCTAAAGGTTCAAGTGAAGCGTTCACATTAACGTGTAGTTTACTACAATATCCGGAACGAAGAACAGGTTGGTATGCTTTATGTTATTACTGGCTTTTGCCCGCGACTCCATCCGTGTGGAATTAAAAAACAAAAGTGAGTAGCCTATGTGTTCTTCCAGTATTGTCCACATCTATGTCAAATTTCATCGAAATCCGTTCAGCCGTTTAGGCTACCAACTCTAACAAACATCTAAACTTTCGCATATATATTATTAGTTTGTTTTATTAGTAAGTCAAAAGTATCTGGGGGTCTAGCACGAAAATTTGAGGGACAGTATTCGTAACTTCATCGGCAATTATCAAGAGCGCGAGTACCCTTTTGACTAAACTATGGTATAGTCACACTTTGATTTCTATGAGCTTATGTGGAGGTACACTACTCGATTATTACTTGAGCAACTAAACAGTTGAAGGCTGCGAAACAATCGACAATCACAGCAGTTGTGCGATAGTTTAGTCAAAGATGTGCGCCCGCTCTTAATCAGTTTTGGATTAATATAAAGCCTTGCAATAATATAAAGCCTTCGTAGTGGGTTAATTAAATTCCAATTCCTCCTATGCAGAAAAATAATAAACTTTTATAGACATCGATGTATGAAATTGAATTAATCCCATAGGCGTCTACCGATAATCTAGACTAGGTCCAGACTAATCTACTAAATTGAATAAATAGCGCCCATAAAATGTTTTAATATCGTGATGATTGTACAGGTCAAGTACCAGTGAAGGTTGAATTGACTATGCTTCTAATAACAGTGCTGTGCGCGGTGGCAATTATTACTATAATGGCGACTGTTTTCGTTACTGTCTGCTATTGTAAATACTGTAATCATAGAGAAGGTAAGAATTGTTTATCAACTAGTTGTAGACCGCGAGTATCCGCGTGGTTTAAAAAAAGTAGCCTATGTGTTCTTCCAGACTGTGTTCTGTGATAAATTTCATCGAGATCCCTTCAGCAGTTTAGGCTACAAACTCTAACATCCATTTAAACTTTCCGATTAATAATATTACTAAATTTTTTTTGATGCTTTATGTTAAAATAAGTGTCAGTAACAATCAATAATTGCTTATAGAATTAATTTGTTATTGTGTTTGTTTATGCCAAGGCTTTTAGGCAAATTTTTGTCTTATAAGATTTTAGTTCGACCCCATTTGAAAAGATTGCACCCGAATATTAAATTATGACTAAGGTAGTGATGATTCAGAAATAGGTGTCTACATTACTATACTTATAGACTGCTCGAAACCGTAGATTCTGAATATGGTTTTAAACAGTTTTTATTTGAAAATAAAAATTAGACAAGACTATGAAATGTTCATTTGTTTTTTTCTCGTGTTTAATACGCTCTGACTGTAATAAAGTATAGAATAAATTTTGTTACAGATGCAGGTAAGAAAAACAAAAGACCTCGAGAAGAAAGTTCAGATGTTTTACTAACGAGTGAAAAGAAAACTGAAAGTGCTGATAGCTTAGGTGAGTATACAAAACTATACTGGCATGTGTAAAAGGCGTACCAGCAGCTAGTTTTCATGTAGCTAGCACAATATTGGTTTTGTGCAACTTAAAAACTCGACTGCCCATCTTGTATGATCTCGTGAACTGGCATGCAAACTACTATACTACTTTACTGGCGTGTTTATTCCTGTCCTAAGAGATTGAATGATTTTGAAGTATTTTTAGATTCAATATCTTTTCTAAAAGACATAGGATGTGATAGAAGACTTTAATTTAATTTTGGTACAATTATTTATAAATGACATTTGTTAACTTTTATTCTTTATTGTTTTTTTTACAGATAAAAATCCAGATATAATACCATTAAATACAAAACTAAGTGACAGCTGTTCAAATAAATCATCGGCCACAGATTACAGTTCCGTCAGACCGTTGATATCGACAACCAACTTAGAGGAATTCGAAGTACCAACTCGTTTCAGTGGCCCACATATGACTCCTTGCCAATTCGAACATATAAAGTACAGAGTCCCCAACTTCCCACCGAACTTGGCTCCAATGCCAAACATTGGCACAAATGTTTACAGACATCATCATAACGTGTATGAAGATTGGTTGAGATATAAAAACGCGTTACCTTTAGATAGCAGTCATTTGGTAAGTTATTTATATTTTAAATAGTTAGTACAATTGCCCTACGATACACACTTCATTTTTTCTTCCCAATTAGACAGCAGGGGTTTGCGCTAGCGATGAAATAATAATAAAAATAATTTAGTTGCATTTCGTGTCAGTGCGTAAAATATGTTATAACGACTGTAGCTTTATGGGTCACCGTCACCTTCCCCGATTTTGTTAATAATAATAGTTTATGGTCTCTTTTGTATACTGTTCATGGAAGCTTTGACTTCTGTAGTAGGTTGCCCTGTATCACAGGAGTCAATTCCTTCCCCAATACTTCATTATAATTCATTTAATGTCTAAACAAGAAAACAAAGAAGTTATTGTACATTAACTTGCTATACCTAAACTTAAACACAACAAAGTAAACTACAAGTTATAAGTTTTCACTAATTAGACTTTAGAACTACCCAATGTTCCAATATTAGTTTTGAGGTTACTTTGCTTAAAACTTAAAGCGAAAGTAAACATCGTGATGCAATTTGCGCATACAAAGATATTCAGACATGTGAAGTCAACCCGCATATGATTATGGCTTAGTCACCTCTATCTTAGATTAATTCTATTGGCTCGTGTATCCTAATTCAAGCGTCGGTGATTTTACTGGCTCAGGGATTTTACTGGGCTTGTAATCTACAGGTTCTGGGTTCGAATCCTGCTATACCAATGTGATCGATTTTTAGAATTTCATATGCACATAATTTTCCTGTCATTCTTACGGTTTACCTTTAGGAAAAGATCGTGATGTCTGCACATATCTGTAAAGTAATTCAAAGATATGTGTGAAGTCAACCCGCAGTAGGCCAGTGTTGACTGGCCTAGTCATCCCTAACTTAGTGTAGACTCCGAGCCCCACAGTGGGGACCTATAATGTCTGTACATTTTTCAGTTACCATTAGAACAACTAAGACCACCAGAAGAATATTTACCTCCTCCTCTACTCAGCGATCTGTATAGGAACCCAATACCGCATCCACAGGGAACCTTCCAAGAACACGGATATCACACTGAGAACAGACAAATGTCAAACCAAACGATAAACTCCGAAACACCCTCAGTTAGAGTACATTCAGAAAATAATAGTGTGTACTTTAACAAGTTTGGAAGAACAAGTACATTACCAAGATTGAAAGGTATGTATTCTATATTCTGTAAAATCTATTTAATTCTGGGACAATGCAATTTTGATCACAATATATACAGGCGAATTGATGACCTCCTTCTTTTGGGAAGTCGGTTAAAATGGTGAAGCTATGATTTTTATTATCAATCTGGTCTTCCATACATCTTATTCAGCCGTCATATCTGAATTCACTCCCTTCTTAAGCATCGTCTTTCACACAACCCATACATTCTTCTGTCTTCTACATGCTATCTTATTACTTTTTTAACTGAAGCTATAGGTAAAAGCATTTGTAATAAAGTGCTAGTGTTATATATATTTATGAACTAGCTTTCGCCCGCGTGTCCGACCGCGCGGAATTAAAAAAAAAAGTGAGTAGCCTATGTGGTCTTCCAGACTATCCTCTACATCTACATATGTGTACGAAATTTGATCGAAATTTGTTCAGCCGTTTAGGCTACAAACTCTAATAAACATCCATCTAAACTTTCGCATTTACAATATTAGTATGATTATGAAGTCCCTAAAAAATCTTGGAATCGACCTAAGCCTATATTACTTACACGATTCCTCAGATGGTTATAATGCACGTGGTTTGACTGGTCCTTTAAAAATAAGTTCGGATTTGTCATCTCCAATCACACTAAGATAACAAGGTCCTCGGACGAATTACGTTGAACACCATAGGTTTTTCGATGGACTGATACTGGTGATATAGGTTCGATGGCCTACGTCTGATGATTATAGTCAGAGGAATAAATCACGTTACCTATACACGTAAATGTTTCTGTGTTTCATTATTTAACCTTTGAATGACATTTTCAGTGCCATCCAATTTGCCAAGAGAAATAGACGCAAAATCATCAGAGACTGATGTTGAAAGTCGACAGAATTAAGAATTTATTATAATATATGTGTCAACATAGAAGATTTTATTTCCACTAATCGCGGATAGTTCCACTGGCGCTGGACACGCGCGTTTTATCTCCAAGTGGAAATTACGCTAAACGTCGGAAAATTGTAAATAATATTAGTATATTATGTTGGTTAAATTTAATGTCTGTTGTGTATATTAAATATTAATTAAAATATTGAATTTTTATAATAATTTTGTTGTTTTATTTAACTTTACAAGCTAATACCATTCATATATTTAAGAAAACCAATATTTCTTATAGAGAAATAAAGACTTCAAAATGTCTAAGACATCTAAAACTTCTGTTACAGTATGTTTATGCCTCTTATTGTATGGACATAATGTAACGCCGGTACTTAGCTTCATGGTTGTCTAATTACTATATTACATTTTGGTTGTAATAAGAATGAATAGATTAGCGCGAGATACGATGCATGACCGCGCAGATTGACAGACGAAGTGCAAGAGAGTGAATGAATGTACAATAGGGATGTCCGTGCGATGCTGTTGCTAGTGATGTACGTAGTCGAACATTAGGGATCCATATAAAGGTGACATAGGCGCCAACACACTAAATTCCAAGTTCCACCAAGACCGAGAACGGCTGTTTATGTCCAAGCCAGTGAAAATAATCAAAACAATGGTCACAGCAACCACAGTCAAACGCTCAGTCGCACTAAATTTTAAGTTAATTATATTGAATTGAACTTATTACATTACTAGCTGTTGCCGCGACTCGGCGTGGAATTAAAAAAAACAAAAGTAAGTTGCCTATGTGTCCTTCCAGACTATCCTGTTTATCTGTACCAAATTTGATCGAAATCTGTTCAGCCGTTTAGGCTACAAACTCTAACAAACATCCATCTAAACTTTATAATATTAGTAGGATAGCCTCTTCGTACACTAGACAATGCTTCGATCTTTATTAGTTTCTTAGAGGCATTACAATCTAATAGAGGTTCGTTCACAGATACGCTTCGCAGACATGACAGTAAGAACCTAGAGACTAAAATTACAGATTTGCGATGTCCTGTATACGAAGGGGCTTATACATATAGTACTTAATAATAATATTATAAATACGAAAGTTAGGATGGATGGATGTTTGTTAGCGTTTGTAGCCTGAACGCTAACAAACATCCATCCATCCTGTAGGCTGAATCTGCATGAAATTTGGCACAGGTTTAGAGCATAGTCTGGAAGAACACATAGGCTACTTTTTATCCCAGGAATAGTTACACTTCCCGTGGGATTCATTAATTTAGTTTTTTAATGTTTACGCGATCATTCTGCAGCGGTTCAACATATCTTTTAGAAATTTGGCACAGATACAAAACAAAGTCTGGAGTACACATGGGATAAGGTCCATCTCCGAGAAATGTCCGGTTCCTAGCTTTTTGTTATTTATATAGTTCGTATGTTTTCTTATACCACGCAAACGAAGTCGCGGGCAACAGCTAGTAATATCATAAATGTGAAAGTTTAGATGGATGGATGTCTGTTAAGGTTTGTAGCCTAAACGATCAAAAGGATCTCCATGATATTGTCATAGATGTATTGATGGTCTGGAAGAACACATAGGCTTACTTTTGTTTTTTAATACCACGCGGACAGAGTCGTGAGCGAAAGTTAGTCCTGTATCATTGTATAAATTGAAATTTTGATTAATACTAGTCGTGGTCTGAATACACAGTAAACCACAATTGTTATTTCGAAAGCCTCTTGCTCTATAATCTAACACAAATTGGTTTCATTTGCGTCATTGTTATGAACTAGGATAATTGTTTCGGTCGTGTTCAATTAAATTTATAACATTGTTGCTGTTTCAAATAGTTATACAGGGTTAGGGGTTTTTGTGTAAACCTTTATACACTGACGCTTTTATAACGCTCGTTAAAAACCGTTGAAATAGAACAATTGAGCGTCGGTGGCTTAGTGGTTTAAGCACTTGACTTGTAATCTACAGGTCTTTGGTTCGAATCCCGCGGTACCAATGTGATTTTCGATTATTTGTATTTCATATGTCATAGTTTATCCGGCGTTCTTGCGCTGAAGGAAAACTTCATGATGCAACCTGCACATATCAAGGAAATTCAAAGATATCTGTGTAGTCAACCAATCCGCACTGGACCAGCGTGGTTAACTCTAGTCACGCTAAATTAGGGTAGGCTCCGATCCCCTCGATGGAAACGTACAGTGAGCTGGTAATGATGAGTACAAATGATTTTTGTTATCTGTCTGTCCATATAATAGCAACTTTTAAAGTGCGACGTTTTTTAAACGTGCTGTGTGTGCTTTGAGCTTAAGTCGAACGAAACAAAAGCTATTTTGAAGCGTTTGTATTAGTGATAGTGTTAAAACACGCTGACGTTGAGCGTTAAAAAAACGCCCGTGTGAATACCGTTTTAATGTAATGAAATAATTGTTATTACAGATAAAATAGTTATACACATGTGCTGTTACATTATGTTTTTGTCTAGTATGACTGTATTTCTACTGCTGTGGCAGACATTCAGCTATAGTCAAGCAAGGATATTTTGCCCAGTGAAAGACGGCTTCCGATAAGTTCTGTCAGAAAATGTAAAACGTACGTTTTCATAAAAATAGCACAAAAAATGACAACAGCTACAGTACAAAAAGGTTATTGTAACAATTTAATATTAACAGAAGGGCGTTAGTAACCTATCATCAGTTTGACTTACGCGTACCGGGTCAAATTATGTGTCGTTCTATACATTATATTAAGCGTTTATTTCGATGTAGTCAGGGTGGGTCTCTAGTTAACCGGAATAAGGAAGTACTACACACTTTATGGATATCTTAATTAACGTATGCGGGCAGCATAATTACATTAAATGAATATACCACTTACCGTTATGTAACACGTGCGCAAATAATAATAAAAATAATCGTAATAAAGTGGATGTTATTATGAAACGGACGATAACTTCATTATTTACAAGTGGTTGCCAGAGACTGTCATCTGTATCTATACTATGATAATAAAGCGTAAACACGCACTTCTTTGTTGCCTAAGATGTCAGCAATCACAAAATATTTTTGAATAGTCCTTTTTGTAATAAAAAGACCTACACTTACGTCACGCTTTGGGCTATATATTTACACCCCATTAAACTTAGGGGGTAAATATTTTGGATAAAAAACCTACTGTGGGAAAGAGACCATAAGTTGCTGCCAACATCATGGAAGCAAAATTGCCATACTTTGTCATCATGTCATGTCATTTTGACATTTGCAATTGAATTTGACAAATGTAATCAATAAAATAAAATTTTTAATAAATCCACGCAGATGAAGCCGCACGGGAACAGCTAGTCAGAATTAAAAAGAAAGTGAAAGTGGGTAGGGAGTTTTAAGTTTGTTTGAACAATTAAAATGATTCAATAAAGCTTTTACACGCGACTTTGTCCGCACGAAATAAAACAAACTTAATAGCCTTTATGTTCAAGACTATGTTCTACATCGATATCCGTTTAGCTATTTAGGTATCTAAACTCTAACAAACATCCATACATACATTAAACTTTCGCATTTATGATATTGGTAAGACACAAATTATACCTATTTTGCTACAATCCTATCTGATCTTTGACATAACTTTCTAACTTTGAACATTGCTATCGACCTTTGATATTTAAATTTAAAATAAACAAACCGAGCCGCGTTTCCATTACGAGATACTTTTAAAAAGCGATTTATTTCTCGTTAACGTAAACGAAAAGCGTTTAGGGTTTCCAAATTATTTTATATAACAATAATTATTACAAATGTAACCTAGTTTATATAATTATTTTTTGTGGTAATCTATCAGTCATTACTTCTATGGTAAATAGATAACTTACTTATCTTACTAATATGTTAAATCCGAAAATTTGGATGGATGGATGAATGTTTGTTAGAGTTTGTAGCCTAAACGGTTGAACGGATCTCGATGAAAATTGTCACAGGTGTAAAACATAGTTTAGAAGAATACATAGGCTACTTACTTTTCTTTAATTCCACGCGGACGGAGTCGCGGCGAAAGCTAGTATTATAAATGTGAAAGTTTAGATGGATATTTGTTAGAGTTTGTAGCCTGAACTTCTGAACGGATTTCGATGAAATTCGACACAGCTAGAGAGCATAGTGGAAGAACACATAGGCTACTAAATATCTTGAATTCCTCAAGGATAGAGTCGTCAAAAGATTGTTTATCTAACTAATATTATATATGCGAAAGTTTAGATGGATGGATGAATGGATGGATGAATGTTTGTTAAAGTTTGTAGCCTAAACTGCTGAACGGATCTCGACGAAATTTGGCATATACGAAGAGGATAGTCTGGAAGAATGTATAGACTGCTCACTTTTGTTTTTTCTGGAAGTCTCTGGCGATAGTAGTCTTTATAAATTTCATATGGTTGTATATTGAAAATATAAATCACGAAAATGTTACGTATAAATTAAATAAATCCGAGTGTTAGCGGGTAATCGGGCCCTTTGTGATCATCGCGTTACGTGCCCTGACTAAAGACTCAATAATTTATTCCACTGTTTCCTTAACAAAAGATATGACACAATTCGTTCACTTGTTTTATTTTATTTATTTATTATTTATTGATAATTGTTCCTATCTGAATGTTACTTATTGTATTGTGTTAAAATGTGTATGTGTCAAAATTTTGTCCTGTTGGTTTATCTTAATCATACTAATATTATAAATGCGAAAGTTTAGATGGATGGATGTTTGTTAGCGTTTGTAGCCTAAACGGCTGAACGGATCTCCATGAAATTTGGCACAGGTTTAGAGCATAGTCTAGAACACATAGGCTACTTTTTATCCCGGGAATAGTTACGGTTCCCGTGGGATTCATTAATTTAGTTTTTTTAATGTTCACTCGATCATTCTGCAACGGTTCAACATATCTTATTGAAATTTGGCACAGATATAAAACAAATGGAGTACACATGGGATACGGTTCGTCCCTGAGAAATGTCCGGTTCCCGAGCATTTTGTTATTTATATAGTTCGTATGTTTTCTAATACCACGCGGACAAAGTCGCGGGCAACAGCTCGTAAATAAATAAAAAAGAAATAAACAGCATAAAACAAATGGTTGCCCATTTAAATTAATTCAGAGGTATTA